TTCTGATGTTAGAAGACTATTAGCTGCACCTTAGATGGCTGTTTGAAAGCTTTTAAGACCCCAGTTGCTACTCACCAAAGTAGATAGTGGAACAAGATCTTTATGTATTTTGTTGTGCCAGTTGAGTCTGGTGTCCCCCAATATTATGGTCCTGAGTTGGCAGTGTCTGGCTATCTATGAGGGATTGCTCTATGCCTGTCTTCTGTTGCTTCTGTAATGATTGTGGGTATTTTGTATCACTGGTATCTGTGCAAGATTATTAGCCTCAGCTGAATCTATCTTTGGTCTAGAGTATAATCCTGTTCACTGACCCCCATCTGATCTTCTCAGTTATCCATGTGTTTATCTGTAGACTGGTGTTTGGTGTTAATGGTAATGCAGTATTGTGGATATACTGGTATTAGCCTCTGTCATCTATATCTTATGTGCACAAGCTTTCTGTTTTAAAGCCCAGAAGAAATCAAGCCAGATTACTCCAGAGAATGCTGGCTCAGAGGTGGCTTCAGGACATCTATGAAAACTAACCTACTTGAGAGTCACATCATTCTATTATTCCTTCAAAATACATTCAAGTGGAACTGCAAGCAATAGTCATGATAATGATAAGTGCCTATTAAATTATGCTCCAATTCTTTAATTTTAAAAACTTTTATTATAGAAAACTTCCAACACTATAGTTTAATAAATCCCTATGCACCCATTCCTCACTTCAATAATTTTCAATTCATGGTCAATCTTGTTTCATCTATACTCCTACAAACCCATTATCACTTTCCCTAATTATTTTGAAGCAAATCAAGACATCACATAGTTACAAAACCCACTACCATCAAGTCAATTCTGACTCAGTGACCCTAAAGGACAAAACAGAACTACCCCATAGAGTTTCCAAGGCTGTAATCTTTACGGAATCAGATAGCCTCATCTTTCTCCCATGGAACAGCTGGTGGGCTTGAATTGCTGGATTTGTAGTTAGCAGCCAAATGCTTTAACCACTGAACACCAGAGCTCCTTTCACATTGTTACAGTGGTTCTCAACCTGTAGCTTGCATCATAATCATACAGAAAGCTTTTAAAACTCAGATTATTGAGCTCCACCCTTAAAGACTGTGATTTAGTAGATCTGGAGTGGGATCAAGAATTTGCCTTTCTCATAAATTCCCAGGTGATACTGATGCTCCTGGTCTGGGGAGCACACTTTTAGAATCACTGTATTATTTCATCTCTACATATTTCAGTAAATACCTCTAAAGAGAATGATACACCTTTTGAAACATAATCACAATATTATCACAAAAGCACAAAGACCAATGCTAACTCCTTAATATCATGTTTTCTGAATTGTCCTCTAAGTGGTTTCATTATTTTTTAAATTGTACTTATTTTGTTGTTAATATACACAGCAAAACACACCAATTCAACAGTTCTACATATACCATTTAGTGACATATTCTTCAAGTTGTGCAACCATTTTTACCTTCTTTTCTGAGTTGTTCCTCCCCCATTAACATAAATTCACTACCCCCTAAGGTTCCTACCTAATATTTCAAGTTGCTGTTGTCAATTTGATCCCATATAGCTAGTTCTTAAAAGAGCTTAATGCTCAAATCAAACATTTTTTAATAAATTAGCTAAACTATTCTTGACTGCTAACCAGAAGGCTGGCGGTTCAAACCCACCAGCCACTCCTTGGAAGGAAGGTTGGGCAATCCTACTTCCGTAGTGATACTGCCTCGGAAACCCAAGGAGGGGTCGCTATGAGTCGGGGCCGACTCGACGGCACATAACATTCTTTGATTTTAAGAAAACTTCAGAGGATATTTCTGGCTTAAAGTTTAGATTATCTCAGGGCAATAGTTTCAGTCCAAACTTTATGGCTCCAGGAAGTCTAAAGTCCACGATAATTTGAAATTCTGCTCTACATTTCCCCCATTTTAATCAGGATTCTTCTTTGGAATCTTTGATCAAAATGTTTGGTAATGGTAGCTGGGCATCATCCAGTTCTTCTGGTTTCATGGCAAAGAAGGCAGTTATTCATGGAGGCTATTAGTCACACATTCCATATCCTTCTATGCCTGATGTTCCTTCCTGTTGCTCCAGGGGAATAGAGACCAATTGTTATGCCTTGGATAGCTGTTTACAAATATTTAAGACTCCAGGCACTATGCTTGGGACTAGGAGTTAGAAGCACTAAACATGTTAAGCATGTTATTAGGTCAATTAACTGGGATGTCCCATGAAATGATGACCCTAAATCTCCAAACGAAGAAACCAAATCCCATGAGGTTATACATATGCAGCCTCAGCAGCTACTCATTTTTTTTTTGTCATTGTTGTATGTAAATATATCTATCACACTTTTGCCAATTCAACTTTTTACAGGTGCACAAATTACTAACAGCAATTACAATAATCAGAAGCAAAATCCTTTGCTGTTGTTGTTAGGTACCATCAACTGTTCTGACTCATAGCAACCCTATGTACAACAGAACAAAATATGCCTGGTCCTCTCCCATCCTCACGATTCTTGCTATGTTTGAGCCCGTTATTACAACTACCATGTCAATCCATCTCATTGAGGGTCTTCCTCTTTTCACTGACCCTCCATTTTACCAAGCATGATGTCCTTCTCCAGGAAATGGTCCCTCCTGGTAACATGTCCAAAGTATGTGAGATGCAGTCTTCCCATCCTCCCTTTGAAGGTACATTCTAGCTGCACTTCGTCCAATATAGATTTGTTTGCTTTGGGAAACCAAAACACAAACCCACTGCCACTGAGTCAATTCCAACTCATAGTGACCCTAATTTTCGAGGCAGTAAATCTTTATGGAAGTAGACTGCCCCATCTTCCTTCTGCAGAGTGGCTAGTGGGTTTGAACTGCCAACCTTCTGCCACCAGAGGCAGTCCATAATATATTCAATATTCTTCACCAATATCATAATTCGAATGCATCAGTTCTTTTTGGTCTTCCTTATTCACTGTCTAGCTTTCAAATGCATATGAAGTGAATGAAAATACCATGGCTTGGGTCAAGTGCATCTTAGTCTTCAAGGTGACACCTCTGCTTTTTAAGACTTTAAAGAGGTCTAAATGAATAATTTCTTTTATAAGGATCAGGACAAAGCTGTTTCTTATGAGGTAGAGTTTAACTACGT